AAAAATATTAGTATGGCGTGAGCTCGTTGTACTGGAACAGTAAAGCAGGCTCAGACACCCATCCCTACGAATACATCACTAGACACATGAATAAATTATAATTTTAAACCCTTTGTGAATTCCCTGATACATGAAGGCCTCTCCATGTAATGTCGGTCATGGGGTTTGTTTGACCATACTTCACCAGTACAGGGTTGGAAAAGGGAGGGTAAACAGGACCAGTATAGCTATCAATCACCAATCAGCTTCGTCGTGGTTGAAAATTGAGCTCGGGGTCGCTGGTTTTACAGTGTGGTGTGCAAACCACTGTGCCACCACTCCCCTTTAAATAAGAGCCGTATTATTATAAATATTGTTACATGTGGCTCAATTTGGTTCCATTGGTTCCACAAACCACCCAAAACCATGAGAATGCCGTTTTCTGGAAAATGGAATTTAGGACGGGTGAGAGTCAATTTAGCATGCAGGTTTTTCTTCTTTGGTTCTTTCATGCAGGTTTTGTCGCAGACACTTGTAATACCAGTGTGGTCTTCCTGAAGACGCCCACAGCAGTGCATGCCAAAAGTTTCAGTGAAAATATGCTCAGCACACAATCTAACGCGTGACATGGCCGAGTGGTAGCACGCTCGCCAGAGGTTGACGGTTCGAATCCAAAGGCCGCCCTGAATATTACTGCGGGTGTTAATAAAATAATCTTTATAACATGCGCTGCCTACTTACCCAGCGGATAAGAAGAGGAGGTCATCGTGTACCGGCGTCAGGGTCCAAATTTGCCAAATTCCAAAATTACACCGGCAAATTGTATAACAATCACCGCTCCCTTACAGGCAGGCTGATGCCCCCCCCCCCACTCTTGCAAATAAAGCTATCCTGTTCTATTGAGTTCTCACCGGTAGTATACAAAAAAAACCTTGAACCTCACACTTGGCGGTAATTTAAAAATCAAGGACGGTAAGACAAGCAACCAGATGAAAATGCAATAAAGTAAATAAAAGGGTTGGGTGGGCAACTAGATTACATGGTGTAAATTGTTGTACATGGCATGCAAATCACGATCATTGGTACAGATAACAAGGTGGGGGGAAGATGCCCTAAAAATCGTATGCTGTTCGCTACACACACCATTGACAATCGAGAGTAGTTGCTTCTCCACAAGCCGGGCAAGCCTATATCAGAAGTGTGCACAACCTCAAAAATGGGTCAATTTGTACCAAAGTCCACAGTTGGATTCCTGGCAACGTCAAGGTAATTTGGTAATGAGCACTGTAAAGTGTGCACGAGCTTGCACGACAGGGAGCCTTGTGATCATTCTTCACAAGGGCAGCTCAATGCTTGTCAGTGTCACAGCAGAAGATGAATAAATTATAGAGCACCAGTTGAACACCTGCATTGCAAGCCAGCCAATGCTTAGGTGAGGCGTAACAAAAGACTGTGAACAATGGAACCTCAACGTGGTCAAATACAGGGCAAGGAATTGAATGGAACTTCAGCAGTTGCCATGATAGCACAATTCAACTGCCAGATGGAGAACTTAAGATTACTCTAACTGCATTGTTCACACAAATGATAACCCCCCCCCCTCTTCTGCCCCCCGAACACTCCTCCGCCCCCGCAAAACGCCTCAAACAAAACAATTAGAACACGGCACCCATTTGCACAATATCAATGGCATAACTTCGCAAAATGGATCACCGAATTAATGAACAGCCTCAAACAAAACAATTAGAACACGGCACCCATTTGCACAATATCAATGGCATAACTTCGCAAAATGGATCACCGAATTAATGAACAGCAAAATGAAAACCGTGCTGATTCACTATGATGTATGTGCTACGTTCCACGATCTTTAGGCAAAGTAATGACAGTATTACTTTTCACATTGTTAAAATGACCCTTTTTTGACATGTAAACCCCAATAGTTTCGGTTGGTTGTGTCATGGCTTGGCAAAGTCAAGAAATACAACTCCAATCAAAACACAGTCAAGCGTAATTTAATGCTTTCCCACCCAGGCCGAGAGAATTAATGCATTAGCTCTGTCCGTCCGCCTGTCTGTAACATGATGTCGATTGAACTCTCCTTATAATGATATGTTATGAACAAAATGTTTGTTTCACATTGTGTTGCTATTAGAGATTTGCTCTACTGAAAATCGGCCAAGTTGGTCAAAGGGTTACTCAAAAAATTGGGAGACAGAAACCCGAGCCAATATTGCTTATTTGCCCTGACCGGTAACGCATCAGTTTTCATCCTGTGAATTAAACGCTTCGGAAGATAAATTGCACGTTGGAAAGTGTCACGTAACCCATGTGTTTATATAAGTTTTGTCCTTTGCTTGAATTTGACTCCAGGAGTCTGATTTCCAGCTCGGCCTAATATCAATGGCAAGCAATATTTCAACCATTTCCTGGCACCCACTCTCCCTACAACCCATTCTCACCGTCTTGGTGAATCCCTATTACAAACATGACTTGGGGAGGCCTTCATTCAGAAGTGGATTGCCAAACGGCTTGACATTATGATTACATTACATTATAATAGTTTATATTTCATTATTTCATATACTGATAATCAGTTAAAGAGCCCAGTGAGAAGTCGTGAGCTCTCAAGGTAAAGGGTCATTAGATAATTGCATGTTATCAGTTTAGTGGCATCCTTATTTAACCATGGATGGCATCATTGCTATTTAATAGCTCTCATGCAAAATGCTCTCTCCGCCGTCAAACGCGCATTACATGCGGCACCTTATAACTTGTACATTTTATACATACGGATAATACTAAATACGTAACATTTGGTCCGTCACCGTTGGAACAAAGACCCATCATCATCACGGGTTTGACACCTGGCATTACAAACTGCACGAACAGGCAATGGCGACTGTTATGCAGTACCACGGGCACACGAATTGCAGCTACAGGGCAGTTACAGCAAAACAACTTTCAACCCGAGGCACTGCTTACTGAAGATAAAAAAAATTAAAGGGTGCAGCCTTGCATTGTATATGACTCATGCCCACTGCTGTCAGGAGGGCGTACACTGGTGGGAGTTTAACAGAGCTCTTCTAGAGGCAGGTACTTTGGCCTAGTCTTCCATGCTGGCTCAACGTCTTGCAAAAACGACGAGAAAAAGGTATTCGACACTAAATGGGAGAATTTGTCTGTCTGTCGCCGGATGGGCTGGCCGTAATTAGCGGTGAAACGTCGTACTCGAATTGTAAATGTTGTGGGTTTACTACTCTCCAACACACCGGTGTGCTGAACTAATAACTAACTGCATGTTTTGTTTAAGTGACAAACCTTTACTAATTGTCTGTCGGGTAGTTGCGGGTTCAACGACACATTTATATTTACACGATCCAAGCCAAAAATCCATATTATTAACAATAATAACGTGTACAGCAATCCTGTATTTATCCGTTTAATAGTTCATGAGTCCAAAGACTCAATTTTAAGAGGGGCCTGCTGGCATATCTGTGGCTGATTTAAATGGGTTTGTGCCTTTTTTGCTGTGGCTTAGATAGGAAACTCGTGGAACGTATTGCACCTTAAGTTGCTGTATGCAACCGTCCTCTGTTCTCTAATCGATTTCTTTAATGTATCGAAGACATGCTCAACTTCATAGATTCCAAGAGACGGACACAACCATTCCTATACAACCGCGCAAGGGCCCCTAGTCATTTCAATTCAAATACATTACTGTCACTGGTGCCTACAAAATTGCTTTCACGCTACTGCAGGCGAGTAAGGGCTGTTAATTGGAGTAAAAACGGTCCTTGGGAAATCGATATCACGGATAGCATAACTCGCTTAGGACAATGTAGTTTGCATACTGCGCAATGAAGTAAGAACCCCTTGTGACCTGAGTTGTATTCCAAGCCACGGTTAGCATTACAAATACAACAGCGGAAAAAATGAAATATGAGCCGGTCATGCAACACAACTCGCACGGACCAGTCCATTGAAAGTCCCGTGCTGTATGGTCAAACATACAGCAGTGGTGGCTTGACAAAGGGTGCAAAATATACCATCGTAAAACAATCGTGTAATATGTACCACTGGTATTTGGCAATCCGCTGACTACACTAACAACGCAGGGAAATCAGATGTAACAAGTGTACACGGGTAGGAATAATGGTGATGACAAATGATCATTTTCACAGCGGTGGTAATGATGATGATTATTATGATAAGAGCTGATGTCACTGCTACGGAATAGAGAGCGGTGACCGTGGTTGATGATAATGTTGACCGCGATGATGAGCGTGACACGATGCTTACCCAATTGTGTTGTTAAATATCGTGCTGCTGCTGTTTAACGATGATGATGATGATGATAGAGGTGACATTGTTACTCATGCTGACGGTGATAACGGTCATAGGCCATGCACATGGTGAAGATGGAACTGCTGCTGATGATGATGGTGGTCACATAAGCAATGGTGATGTTACTTCTGAGTAATGATTGCTTCTGAGTAACGACTGCTGCTCATGATTGCCGCTATTGCTCCTGCTGCTGATGGTGATGGTCACACGCAGTTGATGAATTTGCTGCTGCTACCTGATGACCATAATTACGATCGACGTTGCTGCTGCTGATTGTTGCTGATGATGATGATGAAGATGGTTTTGGTCATAAGCGCGGCGATTGTGCTGCTGCTGCTGCTGATGGCCAGTGTCATGCCAATGCTGCCGATGATGATGATGATGGTGGGTCATAGCTCTGGTGATGTTGCTTCTGAGTAATGAATGATTGCCGATGACGATTGCCGCTATTGCTGCTGCTGCTGATGATAATAATAATGGTCACGAGCAATTGATGAAGATGCTGCTACTGCTGCTGCTGCTACCCGATGACCATCATGACAATTTTGCCGATGAAGATGTTTATGGTCACAAGCACGGCGATTGTGCCTGCTGCTCATGATGAGTGTCATGACAATGCTGCCGACGACGACAAACGACGACGACGATGTGTGTGCCGCGTCTCTTTTGCTTACCACGAGTATGTCTGCTCCGTCATTGCGATGGTCTCGAGTCGCGAGGGCTCCGCGCTCGCGATTTCCACCGACGCCGCCACCACCACGACGGACAAAAGTCCCTCGCAGACTTTACGCAACCATGCCCGGCTTCGCTTATACATCAATAAATTAAGAATGCGGCAGTCCTACTGCTCCTGGTGATAAGAAGACGAGTTGAAATGCAATGACGCCTTGACCGCACACGGAACGAAACCTAACCTCTCTGTTGCTATCGCATTTAGACGTTTTGTTTGGGCAGCGTAGCGTCGAGGTAACGAAGACGGACACCTATCAGCTACCAATGTTAGTGTTATAAAGACCATGTATATTGACGGTTTTACTATATAACAATAACATTAATAGATGTCTCGCAACATGGCGATTAGCGGAGACAGCAGGCCTGACCCGTCCACCCCGACCCCCTCGCAGCCTGACGCCGCCTCCGACAGAGGCGCGCACTGGCCCGCAGGGTGCTCAGGCGGGGGTCGGTGGTAACCCCGGCGTACGTTCTTCGTCTTCCGAGTCCGGGAATCTTCTCTCTCTCTCTCTTCGTCGTAACTACGACAATGACAAAGACAGCCGCTCGAGACGGAGCCTGCGACTTACGGAGACGATTGCAAAAAGACGTCGCCGGCCTGATAAAGCCTACGGCGAGAAAAAGTCGGGTCGACTCCGCGGCGTCGGGACCGCCGGGGTCGGCAGCGACTGCGGGGAAGGCGAAGCCGAAGGCGGCGGAGGGTTTCTAGACGATACCGAAGGCTGAGGCCCGCACCGGGGCGTCTTCAATTTTTCACCTATGTTTTTCTAAAACAATAAATAATACACCAACGCTTCGTAGCATTCCGTATATTTTCTATACTCGGTATATCGCGATGGAAAGGCAACGGCGAGAACTGGAGGCTGCCTTTGATTGCATCCCGAATGGTGACGGCGATGATGATGGGGGGGGGGTGGCGATGGTGGTGATGGATGGATTCCTTGCAGACTATTGTCTCCTTCAATTAAAACCAAAACCGCGATCTTCGAGGTCCCTTCCACTGTGAACCGGGTCGCGTCTTTCCACAGCTGCTGCTGCTGCCTTGCTCACGAAGCCATGTTTGTTTTCTTCACGCATCCAGCCTCCCTCCTCCTCCTCCAGCCACAGCCTCTCACCTCCCTTCAACTCTCGCCTCGCTGTTGTTCTCTCCCTGCTCGCTCTCCCGTCTCCCTTCCGTCTCCGAATCCTCTCCGCGGAGAGCGTCTCTCCAGGTCACCGGTCAGGCGACTGTGTCTACAGCGTCACGTCTCCTAGCTCTCCGCGTGTGCGCGTCTCTCTCTCTCTCTCTGCGTGTGTGTATGTGTGCGACTCTCTCTCCCTCCCTCTCTCTCTGTGCCTCTCTCCCTTTGTTGTGCTTCTCTCTCTCTCTCTATCCTTCTCCACTCTCTCCGTGCACTCTCCCGCGCCACCGCTGTTAACGCACGCCCTCTCACACCACCCAGTGGATGTGAAGTAAAGCGAGATGACGCCTTGCGTGGTGGGTGTGGGAGGTAAGGTAGGGGGGAGGAGGATTATGAAATATCGTTGCTTGTGTTGTTGTTGTTTTTTTTAGAAGCAATCGTATTCATCAGCCCCGGACAGCTCCGGTTGAGACTCAGCCCATGTAGGTGTGTCGAACTTCTTTCGCACCGTACGTAGCCGACCGTGATAAGTATAATGTACGGTGATTTCGTCTATTAAGTTCACTCGCTGGGTTTCCAGTTGTAGGAAGGCTTCCGCATATGCGAATGAAATATAGGCTGTTTGCTTTTGGAATGTTTTCATTTACAAGTGGAAGAAATTACTGATATTTATTAGAACTAGGCGAATTGCATTTACTGGATTTACAATCAGAGGTGTGAGAATGTATTTTACGGTTGCTGTGCAAGTAAAACATGATTCGAATTTAATTGTCAAATGTGCCAAGTGCCTCTTTTGCTTGAATGAGTGTCGTTTATTAGATTCAAAAAGTAGCTTTTTTAATTGATGAGATGGCTGAAATGTAGACAGTATATCATAAAAAACACATGTTACTCACAAGTGAAAAATATATAAGAATAATAACAATCAATAAATGTTCTGCACGCGACAGCTGTAATCACGACACTTAAATAATGCATACATCATGGCACACCAGCAATGGGTCATGGCACAAACTGCTATTGTATGGTTATTTAGAAATTGTAATTTTAACCACAAAGAGTTTTCTTTGTACTTATATCTGCCCCACTGATTCACACTCAATGAAATCCAACGTTAATATATTTGAACGTTAAGTTCAAAATGTACCCATAAAGGAGTGGGTGATGCTTTTTGCAGTTCAGAAATGATACGCACAAGTTCTTCTAGGATGTTCATTTGGCTTGGGTCATTGCCAGTAATGCAATAAAAAAAAATCTACAGTATTATATTAGCTTTTATGACAAATAAGCTGTCAATAGTCTGTACAACCTGAGTATTAGTGCAATACTTGCAGGACCCCAATGAAAATGAACTGGAAATCGCAAAAGACTGTCCTAGTTTAATAAAGTTTGTACAGCTTGTAGCTGCGTTAAAATATAAAAACAATATTTTGTATGTTCTGGTAATACTGTATTAGTAATTTTCTATGACCGGTATTTAGAGAAAAGTTTTAGCTGTGAGGTGCAAGTGTTGCTTCAGCCCCACGGTGAATGTTATATAAAATAAAATAAAAACGTGTTTACAAAAACAATCCTAATGCATACATTTGAAATATATACATATATTTCCGAAAATGCCACGTTTGTCTCATTGGGCTCCCATCTGGTTATGGAAATCACGAACATCCTCATTGATGAACATATTAACACCGGTTGACATAAATTCTAATTGATAATTAAACTATCGTGAAGACAACGCATTTTTCAAAAGCGAATATGCTATTAAATCAATATGCCTATTTGTCAACAAAATTTGCAACTCGCAATTGTCAGCTGGCGAAATTAAAACATCGTTGCCAACGAGCCACCCGTGGACTTCACGTGGGGGTAGTCGAGCTCTTGTAGATTGCATCGATTAACAATGCCTGGCCACTCCCATCTTCTCCACCCTCCCCACGACACGATCGGGAATTCTCCTCCCATTCCATACAACTAGTGGTAGCTTGACCGAGGGGGGTGGTTCTTTAGCGTCTCGGAGGAGATTCTCGATGATGTGAGAGATCACAGTGGTGGTAGGTTTTCCCTCTAAATCCGAGGGCTTTTTTGGAGGCTAATGCCGCTCATCAGCCAGCGAGAATCCCCATAAATTGGTGATAAAGTAAATATATATACACACGTGTGCTGGCCAAGCTTAAAATATAACTGCAAGCTACGTTAGCTTATGGAACTCGGTATTCGACAGCTTTCATATGCAGCGTTGAAATGTCAGCCAGGGGATTGCAGGATTTTGGTTGCTTGGGCCAGGTCATAGCTATAGCAACGATTTTATTAAAAGTTCCTTCAAGCACAGGCCTGCTTCGAGATGAAACTGGTTTTCATCTCTCTTGATGAAAAAACAGTTTAGCTGAAAAACCTAATTCAGCAGTTTTTTCTTGCTGTGGTTGTCCCACCTTATGACGACTGCTTGTGTTGCGATCGAAACTTTGTGATCGATTATTTTTCTACCTACGTGATGACTTTACCGACAGATCCAAAGAGAATGGATTCCTGCAGTCACGAAAGCTTCAAATCAAGATTGACCCTCATGTATATTGGTTTAGACTATCAAATATGTAGTGTTCTATACTTAATTGCATGTTTTCTATCGAATGAGGAAGTGAAAAAAACACTCTCCTGCTTGTGACTGCAGCTAAGAACACCAAACCATGGACCACGTAACTTCGCACCGTTGGACCAACGTTGGCTCAACGTTTCATGTTTACTGGAATAGCCCTACATATAATTTTTAAGGCATGTGTATCTACAAAATCAAAAACTCTCATACAAAGCAACTGAATGCCTAAACGCTGTAATGTATAACTGGTTGCTCTTCATAAACCAAACAAAGCTAAACATGTAATTTTATACTTTTTTTATTTGGATATGCCTAGCAACGGGTGGGGTCTTCACAAAGTTTGGCGAGTCCGCATCTCCTCCTCCACCCCACCACCAACCAGCTATATGAACTGCAAGAACTGAATGGGAAAAACGCCCAAATGCAGCGCCACTTGGCTGAGGTGACAGGCGACGAGCCAATGGAATTGCACAACCGGCGAACAGCTGATCAGCAAATGCCGACGCGCACGCACGTGGGCATTTCCCTGTATGCCCACGCGCACGCACGTGGGCATACAGGGAAATTCCAGGGTCGTCTTATCGTAAAGGTCTCCTGCTGTGTAATTTTTATGTGCTCAGCATTAAGATACTGTTATATTTTTTCTTTGGATAACCGCAATTCAAACCGCTTTTTTGTTGTTGTTACAACTTTTCACCTTCGTTCCAGAATGTGTATTTGTTTTGTACCACTCACGTGTGCTCGACCTTCCTGGTCACCTTTCGCCACTCATTCCTGTCCTGGCCCACCCGTCTCCAGTCTTAGTTGAACGACTTAGAACCACCTTTTTATGTTATAGGCTTTGCGTAAAAGTTTTCCACCCTGGTGCTTCCATGTTCATTACCTTAATGGGTTTCTATATACGTCCTATGGGGTCGCTTTGTAAGTCGAGGAGATCTGTATAATTCGTGTACTGGTATCTAAGTTTGTGTAAGTCTATGAATCTCTATTATTTCTGGCATGTCCCACTGTTGACTATTTTTCTTATTTGACCAGATAAGGCTCACTGAGCTATACAGCTATTTTTCAGAAGCGACCTGCCCACAAATTATAGCCCAATTAAGTGGCTTGTCATGTAAACATGTATAGCAGCCAAATACTTGAAACATGTTGATTCACGCGATCACGGGGAGAGAGGGAACATGCACTCTCCAAATATACAGGCGTCAGGGTCGGGATCGAACCCACGGCCTCCTTGTATACCAGGGGAGGCTGTTAACATCTCTCCAACGTGACGCCCATGTAGGGATCTGTGTTCCTGGTTATCTCTACTCACTGCACGTCGTATGTCATCACCCTGTCCACTCCAAGTCGTTGCCTTCATATCCTGATTGACCGCCTCTTTCCAATGCAACTCTTGGATTCGATAAATATAATTTAAAAAGTCGCGTGCATTGATATTCGTTCTGTATTATTGTTCTTTTCTTCTATATCTGCAATCATGTATTTCCCTTGAATGTAGCTCTCTTGTGATGGGACCGCCTCCACAAATAGGACCGACTTCGCTCTTTGTCATGTGAATAGCGCCAGGCAGATTCGTATAACCATTACGATTAGGAAAAAAATGGAACGTGCGTGACTGCCTTTATAAACTTGATTTGCCTTTATAAAGATAATGGAAAAAAAAACGATCTGGAAACAGTTTGAGATCAAAATTGTAATTCGGTAAAAAAAAGAAAATGTACGCGCACGAACCTAATTTTAATTCTAAAATATAAATCTTGCTCCCTTCTATACAACGTGACTCGTTTTAAATACGTTTTTCTTCAATGGGAAGCACTGTACAAAAACGAACGCAAACATCTATTAAAAAAACCGAAAAGGTAGTTTATTGATGCGCTTAGCAACTCTGTTACAACTGAAGTATTGTAGTAACATAAACACGAATCCCCTTCATACATTGCTGTGAAATCAAAACAGAGTCGCAGTTTATTATTATTCACATACGCACACCACCACCCCCTGCGCATTTGCAGTTACTCTGGGCCAATATCCGAGGGCGGTGAAATGGGTTTGACAAATTATTACCGTAACGCGCCAAACACAAGGCACTTTGTGAACTGATAAGACGGGGGGGGGGAACCACTGCCTTCTGATACAGACACTGCAAGTCTGATCGCCTGTAGAATTAGCCGAAGCAATGTTACGCTGTATGGGCCATTACGCAATTGCCTATTCCGTAAATGTGCCACTTCCCTGCCGTTTAATTGAAAAGAAATGCCGCAAAACACAATGCTCAGCACCACTCTTTCTCAACTCGTGACTAAAGCCGTTATGGATTCAGGTGTTTGGAATTTTTACCATAATTGTTTTTCTTTCTCCCCACTCGCAAAAATCACAGTGGCAGAAAACGAGCAGAGGCGCACTCAATGCGTTATTAAATGAAGTGCACACAAACTATAGACAGGGTCCTTCAAAAAAAGATGTTAACACTTCCGAGAATTTGCAACAATACCACAAGAAACGTGCTGCCTCCGGGCTCCGGAGACCACCTGGAGGAGACTCCAGGCATGTGTTGACAATGATGGCGAACAAGCGGAGACTGGACTTTTTTGACGCTATTAACATAGATTTGTCATCATGTTACAGTGTATTATTCGTTCTTTTCCCAATAAAAACGATAATCCCATATAAGTGTTAACATTTCTTGAAGCACCCTGTATTACATTTTTTTTTACATACGGCACAATTGTTTTGTAGCCCAGTGCCACGTCTTCCAAAGGCGTCTGGAGAACATTGATCGTACCTATATACATCCCAACACCAGTACAGTGGTCCCCTCCGGTTTGCGATGCCATCGATTAACGTTATTTCGACTAACGACCCGCCCTCCCATGGGGTCCCCATTGATTCTATTAGCGATACATTTTCGATTAACGATACGTTTACGACATTACGCGGACCCGCCAATTTTCGGCCAATCGGCAGCGCTCCTAAGTGCGACTCAGCAGAACTCAGCCAATCAGCGACGCACTTTTGAGCGTTTCGAGAGCCTAAGATAATTTTATGCTCCATTTATTCGTTACAGTAATCCATGTTTCTATTAGTGTTAACGCCTTAATGTTCCTATAACGTGTATTTATTAAAATTGCGTGTTTAAATATTATAGACTATGTTCATAGGATGAAAAGGGTGAACATCCGATCGTCTTGGAACAAATTAAGCCTTTAACATGTACTTCCTATATTCGATTAACGATGGTTTTCGTGGAACCAATTAACATCGCTAACCGGGGGGCCACTGTACTGCGGCAGGTATCATCTTACTGCGAGTCAACGGGGAGATGTGGGTACTCGCATTCAAACATGTCCTCTCGTGCAGTTTAAAACGACAACAGTGCCTTCATCGTAACGCAATGAAATGCAGGATTCCCTCATTATTCGCGAGAGACAAGTTCCGGAGACGCTCGTGCAGAGCAGACTTTGCGGATTAATTCGCTTAAATAAAAACCGTAAATAAGCTCTTTCTCTCTCTCTCACGTAACTTTATCTCTTCTCACTTTCTTTGTGCAGTCATGGAGAGTTGCAGATGTGATTCGCGGATATAAAGTTTGTGAATAGCGAGGGAATACTGGTACCAAGTTTGGAATGTTCATAAATAAAATGGGTGTTCCACCCCCCCCGCCACCGCGCTACTAATTCTAGTTCCTGTGGCCACCACCGCAGCCACGGCCGCCGCAACCACCACGCTCCTGACTGTTCATGTCTACCAGGCGTAACAGTTGCGTTTGATAGACGTTCATCACAATCACCGCGTTCGCCCACACGACAATTGGCACGAGGGCGCGTTTGTGCGACAACTGATTTGCCAGATGTGTACGGCCATGCCAGGGCGTGGTGGTGGCGGCTCGAAAACTGGTCCCGTTACTGAAAAAGTACAATTACTTGAGCAAACAGCAGTAGTATTCTTGGTTCTTTCGGTAAAGTCACGTAAAAGGGAAATAATAAAATAATGCAAATAATTATTTTTTATTCCCTTCTACGTGATACAAATAAAATAATTTCATCGTTTTATTTGTATTATTTGTATTATTTCCCTTCTACGTGACTTTACCGAAACAACCAAGAATATGAATCCCTGCAGTCACGAAAGCTTTAAATCGAAATTTAAACAGCAGTAGGTTTCTCGAGTTCACTCACCAAAGTCGCCCTTGGACACCTACGCTAACGATAAAGTATTGTGCACAAAAAAAACTACGTCAAACTACGTGTGGAATTGTCCTCCAGTAAAACTAAACTCGCGGACACGTCTCGAACAAAGCACATTTGCGATAAAGAATAAAAATAAATTAGTGAATTGGGACACCGTAACCCGTGACGTCGAGAGCAGGGTTCTTGAACTGGGGTTCCGTCAGTCAGATGTGGCCCTCAAAGGGCTCTCAGGAGTTTTCCCGTTGAGCAATAGTCCTCGTGAAAATGTCGACTAGCGAGATAAGATGTAAGATGAGAAGAGTAATAAAGGTGGTGCAATCCATGAGTGGTTATACGTACAGGCGTTGTGACGTCACAACCCCTTGTAATATCATAACCTACGGCACGTAGCACGCCAGAAGAAGCTTATTTTATTGCGGTCCGCCGGAAAATAGGTTGAAGAACTCAGACCAAAAGGGGATAAATAATAACACGCACAACGGATATCGAACAAAAATCCGAGACACCATCGTCGCAACTGCCATTAAGAAAAACAAGTCAACTTGGACGGAGAATTGTGAGCATAGGTTGCAGAAACAACTGGCATCAGCATGCCATAGCCTTCAGTCAACAGTTGACTGAGAATGGCTGACGGTAATGCAGTCTCTAAGGCACATGGCACCCACGTTGCACCAGCCTCGTGGTTAGTTCGAGTCCGTTTCGCTTCAGCTTTTGAGTGGGATCTGTTAACCATGCAGCCGCGTTCCCCCATTTCCTACGTCGTGTATACACAATGAAATAATTACGGCCGTGCTTGCAGATGCAATGTGCATGAATGTGAAGAGCGTACGGCCAATGTCAGCTGTCACTTGAACTATCTTTGGAATGAAAAAATAACTGACCCTCTTCCAAGAGGTGAAATTGCTCTCAGATTGCTGATGCCTTTGAAGGGGACTTGAAGGGGCGGCAAACCAAAACATTTCGTATTGTCTCGTACAAGTTAGCCATCATAACGTCTCCTTTTTCAAGATCGATAGTCGATCCATATTAAATACGTACATAGCATGCACAGGTACAGGCCTGCATCGATTGCAAGTAAAAAGACTGAAATTTAAGCCGAGCGCTTCCTTCGGCGATTTAATGCTTCGTGCAGAGCGGGCGAGAAAAAACAAAAGTGTACCTTTTAACGCAACTTCTGCAACAGCACGGACGCATTCCGCGGCACCGGCTAGCGCTAAACGCAAGACGTGCCATTAACCCAAATCGTTCGACAGATGGCCCAATGCGAGCGCTAATAAAAACCTAATTCACTTCACGATCCAAAGCAACGACGCCTATCGTTCCGATACAGCGAACGTTGTTCACGGCCGATAATGTAAACGTAGCTATTGTGTTTTCACGAGTAGTTCGGGTCCCACGACCAGTTTAGTATACGGAGTTTTAAGCGGGTTAGAGTCGTAGTGCGGATTACATTGAGCGAATGCGTAATGGCTGCTTTGATTTTCCGCGTTATTTTTCTTCACTGTTTTTTTTCCCCGGGTTGTGCGTTGCTTTTAGAGGTGGCCCCTGCAGCCGCCCAGTTTTGCGTGTCAATCGTAATTCGTTCTAAAGACAAAATTGTTCACATTTTATTCCGAGAAATATTTAAAAGCTACAAAAAAACCTATTACAGAAAAAGAGACCTCTACAACAACAAAAAATGTATTTTCCATATTTCGTCAACGGAGAACAGTCATGAAGCTCCCATTGGAACTTTTCTCCGCGAATTATGAATATAGTCGATACATAATTTCAACACATGGCTCGCCGCCATTGAGCGTACAGTATTTGGCATCGGATGGCTGATTAGCGTTATTATTTTTAAATAAGTCTGCAGTCACTTTTCGAAATAGGGTAGGTTGAAGAATCGGAAACCCTTCTTCCCCTTGACGGCGCAGACGATGAAGATTACGTGGTAGACTGTGGTGTTGGAACGGGTGGTGGGTGGGGGGGGGAGAGAGATAAAAAAAAAAATCACATCCACAAGAGACTTCACTGCAAACATCGCGAATGCTGTTGCCGTTTATGTATGACAACCCTCGCCCTGAACCGACGCGCAAACACCACGGGGCAGCGCGACGTGCGAACGCAACTGGAGACGTCGGCACTCACCTCCCGGGATAAAAAGCAGGAATCCAGGCACGAAAAATATAGCGCTCGACACCCCTGCAAAGCAAAAAACCAGAGGTTAACAAACGTCAACGTATACGCACGAACCCAATCCTTTCAGCGCACTGGCGATGCTGCAAACACGCCGCTGCTTGGCATCGTGGACACTTGCCCTCAAACAGGGCACGGTGGTTCTCAGGAGACACACACACACACACACGTGCCAAGGGTGTGAAAGGGGGGCAAGAGCGCTCCCCGTTCCATTGCTACGGGAGCCCAGCGATTTTTTTTTTCGCAACGCAAGCACCGGCGCTCCCCATTCATCAGACGGCCCAGAAAGCGGACAGCAGTTTTTCACCGGGGCTCTTTTTTACGAGACAATAAGGGCTCGCGCATTAGACTGGATATGCTCGGTTGACTGCAGCTTGAACGTCGCTAAGCAAGAGTGAAATCCGCCCCTATTTCTGGCAACACTTAAAACCGCCTTGGCGGGCATTAAAACGTGCGTGCCGCAGCGACGTAATCTCGGAGGTAAAGTGCTGCCGCTGCTGCGGCCGTTGCTGCTACCGCCGCAGCCACTGCGAGGAATTTCACGCTCGAGCCGGCCGTAATCCCCAGCTGTGCCCCGCTCCGAGTGTCTGGCGCGAACCCCTTGGCGTAAACCACGGCCGCAGACTGTGACGCGCGGAGTCCGTCACTGAAAACGAAGAGGAGGAACGAGCGTGAGAAACTAATCCATGTTTTTGTATTTTACCAGGCAAGGCCCACTGAGCTATATAGCTCTTTTTTCCAGAAGAGACCTGGCCATAAATGATAGCTCAACGAAGTGGCTTATTACGTGGAAATTTATAGCAGCCAAATACTCTGAAGGCATGTTTCTAAATGTGGAAAGACACAAGACCCAAAGAAAAATCCAGGCGACCACGAGGAAAACATGGAAACTCCAAATAAATAGGTGTCAGGGTAGGGATCAAACCCATGACCTCCTGTATACCAGGCGAGGTAGTTGACGTCTCGCCACCATGGCGCCACAACAACACTTGGCAAAGTGAGGTGTTGCCCCTCTGAAGAGTACACAGTAGGAGTGGTGGGAAACCTATGTAGTTGCAACCCACAGGTCATATACAGCTCGCAGCCACATGATTCCCGCCACTTCCCTATGTATCTTCTCCGATCCACTTGTACATGTGTGCTGAACTTCTTTCGCACCATACATAGCCAAGCAGTGCTACGTACGGTTGAAATTTCAACGAATAAATGATGCCACGACAGAGGCAGCGGTCCCCCTCTCTTTTTTTGTTTTCACGAGCCGGCTGTTTTGTTCCCAGCTTCAGATGTAATTAAAATGCGCGTCTCGAGGATGGAGCCCAACGACAGCCTCCGTTGCAAGAGAGAAAAAAAACCACACACCGCGTGGTGCTTCCGTCAATGAGAGACACATTCCCACGCGGGGTCTGACAAACCCACGAGGGGGGTTGACTACTGCAAGAGCGGCCGTTCTGAAGAAAAAACACTCGAGGCTGAAAGCAATCCGTAGCCGCCGCCGCCTCTGGTTCACTGGCAGCCGACATTCTTTGCGTGCGAGGTTATGTTGCTTTGGAGGACGCGAGCGTTGTGCTGTTTCAGCACGAAACAATTAGGCAATGCTTAAAGCGGTATTCTTCATTGCAAGGCCCGCGGGGGGGGGCCCACTGGTGGGCCCTTGTGGCCTTCAGTGTGGGCCCCTTGACGTGCGCCCCCCCCCCCCCCCCGATAATACACCCCCATCGTCGTGCCGTGAAACAAGAATGGCTGAACCTCACACTGGTGTCTCATCGGCGAAAGTGTGCCCCGTCTGAAAATTTGTGAAGAACACTGGCTTCAAGAGTACAGCTCACCCCCTACTTCTCCAACCAGCGCGCTGAAATATGGTCAAGCCCCCCCCCCCCCCGCCCCCTGATGCGGTGGCACGGGGAAGCCTTTGTCCAGCAGTGGATTGACAACAAAGGTACATCAAATGTTATTGATATGAATAAGGGTACCTGCATTGGGGTTCACCTCCAAGGCGATTCCTGTGATGATCAAGGCTGTAAGGATCAAAGGAGCAACTTCAATAGAGTAAACTTGCAACGGTTGACAGTCAGAAACACACTTAAACATGCACAAAGACAAATAGCCCCCAAATAGCCTTTAACACACTGTTGGGGAAAGTGTTATTAGCGTGCACCTATGAAGGGTAGCATAGCGTTCGAAAGGGTGTAGCGAACACCACCCCCGGCCAACTTTATGTCACCCCAGGGGCGATGTTTAAACACCGCACCAGGTAATCATTTAAGGCTCGTTCGACCTAGTAGAGGCCAAGGACCGATTTTAATAATTGCCACTGGTGTTGGCCGTGAGCAGGAATCAAACTCGGGCTGCCGGGTTTAAAGGGCAGTGCGCTAACCGTTTAATACTACCACTCCCCACACACACACGAGTAACGCAACGTTGTAGGCCTACAGCAAGTACACAGAAACGCACACAAATGCAAGTGCAGGGCAACGGAGGTGTTTGTGGAGATGTTTGTCGAGCACCGGGATTAAAAAACTCATTGTTTGACTTCTTGTTTGTGAACTCGGGGTTGTTGTGCAATGGTCAGCCCACTCCTCGAAGGCTAAAGAAATTAAATAAGACACTTAAGATCCTGAAGAGATTCTTCCGCTGTGAGTCCACTGTTCAACAGAGCCAAACCAAGGCGTGGTTACAATTACGAGTGCTCAGCGGTGCTGCCCAACAGTCAGCGATCTAACCGCGGCCATACATGCGACTCCACGGTGTAACGTCACGCATCCCACTCGCTGGGGACTGAGGTGTAGAGCGGAGAAGTTAACAGGTTGAATATATATTTATTAATAACAGTCCTAACTTATTTATCTGGCAAGAGACCCACTGAGTCCGAGGACCCTTTTTCACGGGGGTCCTGCTACATTGTTTTTTTTTTCTTTGTTATATTAAGATGAGTGTCAGTTGGATATGTCGGCTTTCGCAAACCAATATTATTCATAATCATGAATCAGTGTCTGCCCCCCTCGCAGGGCAACGCTCTATCCCCGTACAGATAGAAACATGTGAAGATTAGACCAATTGCCGCATCGCCTTTTCCTGGCCAGCCGGGGTACGTGCGCGGAAAATTAAGAATGCATTGCTGTACGTGGAGAAATCAGATTGGTGAACATCTTCCGGAAAGAACACCCGGAACAAACACTGCACTGGGCCGTTGTTGGTTAATCGGCGAGGGTGGATACGCGACGGTCGGAAATGCAAAAAAGGATGAGGTGAAATGTCGAATGGACGAAGCTGCATCTGGGAATTGGGAAAAATTCAGCCGGGCGGCAACCGTGCGTGCGGTTGGCGGGGGCAGCGGAACGTTCTAACCCACCCCGACTGGACATCTGTAAAAAAAGAGCTTTATAGCTCGTTGGATTGCTCCAGTGTAAATTAATATTCGTATTCTGATTTGGTAGATATACATTTCCACATGATAAGCCACTTCATTGAGCTATCAGACGCTAACAGCTCGGTGAGCTTTACCTAGTAAGATGAAAAATAGTTTAGTTTTATTTGTACGATTTTTTTAAAGTGATCGTCTTACCTTTCCTATACTTTGCACTCCATTTGTGTTCATTGTATCATTTGTTGCTATAACGTTCTGACCCTGTGCCTCTACTGGACATCTGTGAGAAAAAGTGCTTCACAGCTCATCAGATTCCTCCTGCAGTATAAATAAAGATTCTGATGTTTCTGTACACATGAGTGGACGTCTGCCATTCGTGTTGGCACAAGTAAGCGGTGCCGATGTTGAGTATACGCTAGCCAACAGCGCTTCCCGTAATTCGCAAGGACACGCGCTGGGGCTGTTCCGCCTGCACGCGCAGAGCGAGCGTGAGGGTGCTGCGTCACTTGTGCCGGAGAGAGAAGCAGACGAACTCTGCGAACGCTCCGCTAAGTGGCGCGGGATCCATGTCAGGCGGCGACAAAGTGCCGATTGTCACAACTGGCATTAACTTTTCAATCAGAATATTTATTTAAACTGAAGGAATCCGATGGGCTACGAAGTTCTTCTTCACAGTTGTTCAGTAGACCGAGCCATCGGCGTGACGTGTCACCAGACGGCAAAGCCAGTCGCAACTCCCCGCGGCGAGGCGTGCGGTTACTCCTGACCCCCTCCCCCCCGCTTCGCGTTAGGCAAGTCACCGGGAAGCATGTCTCACCGATGCCCACGATGAGGAAGACGAAGGAGGCGATAACCACCTTGCGATTCTTCAGGATGAGCGGATGCCTCGTCCAACTGTGAGAGTGACAACAGAGAACGTCAGCGCCAGCGGGCAGGCCAGCTGGCTCGCAAAGAGCGCCGTAGCACAAGACGGCCTCGATCGGGAGAAAACCCAACGTTGATTTTCTCGCCAGCAAGTTGCCTCAATATTTAGTCTTGTCCTGTGCACGCACGTGGTCACCCCATACCCGCAAAACCAAGATGTTTAAGTTTCAGGGCTGGAATAAGTCAAATTAAGTGATAGAGCAAGGGTTCCATATTTCGAGGCAGTCATTGGTGAACAGGGTGAGACCATCAACTTGAGTAATCGTAATCAGCCAAGCAAATCTGGTCTCCGTTCCCCATTATCACCGCTGCCTCAAACTCATCTTCCTCTTCGGGACTCCCCCCCCCCGCCGCCGACTCATAGCTTCCCCCGGCAGGTTTCTAACACGTCAAATTTACCACGTTCTAATAATTACCAGCAGATTGCTCAATCGGGGCTACACGTAGCAATCGTCACCCCCTACTCGCAGACTAATACCCCAGGTCGCTCTTGCAAATGAGACTTCATCCTGTTCTCTCGCGAGTTCTCACCTGGCTAAACAGAGAATCAATGTCAGTTTTAACTGCTTCACTCCGCACCATGTCTATTGCCAAAATGATTGATTTAATTTGTTGACGCGGATAAGAAACATTCTGCCTTAAGCCGTTCTACCAGAAATTATCCGGAGAACCTTGGTTAACGAAAGGAAGTTACAGCAGCGTGCAAATCATAACATTGCAGACGTTGAGGAGCAAACACATTGCATGAAATTAACGTTCAAGTCATGCACCATTCGAGTTACAATGGCAGCGGGCAACACAGAAATATAACACCAGCTCGCGCAGAGTTTGCTAAGCACAGTGCAAGAGAAGGGAAATCTTAAATTAGGGAATGGAGGGAGGGGTTTAAACAGAAACCACGAAGTGAGGGGCAGCAACTCGAGATGACTTTTCACCTTAGCCGGATCTCGCTCTGGAGGCACGAAGGAGAAACCATCCGCTCTCAGAAACGAAGCGGGGTTAAATGAGAATCAGAATTTTTATTTAGCCTGGAAAAATACCGATGAGCTATGACGCTCTTTTTCGCAGATGCCCAGTAGGGGTGGGTCAGAAAGTTACAACAACAAACAATGCAAAAAACAATTGGGGTGCAAAGTATAGGAAAGGTAAGCAAATCACTAAAAATAAATAAGTAAAATAGATAAAGTATATGAGATGAAATTGGATAAGTATACCAATTCCCAAGCTTTGGAAAGGCAGAAAACGGCAAAAACAGTCTCAGACCACACCAGGACACACTCCCCTTCAATAAAATTGCACATTAAAATTTAACTATCGATACACGGGGAGGAGGGGGGTAAGAATGAAAGTTGAGCCTGGACAGTGCTCGGACGGGCGACCGACCGTGCACAACAGGTTGCTAGAGGCTTCTGCCACGGCACTGTCTGTGTGGTGGGCGAAAGAGGGCAGCGCAGCACAACCCATTGCTGTACTGCACCTCTACGCTGCCACGACTACAACTCCCTGCCTTTCGCCAGCCCGGCAACTGTGACCAGCGTGGGTGAAGCATGTTCAATCGAGCCTCACGACTGGCGCAACATGTTGGGCGGGGGAAGACCTCACACAGCGCTTGAGATAGGCAACACTGGCCTGCCCGACGCACAGACACTGTGGACCGCACGCTACGTAAGTAAGCACGCACGTTATAGATCAAAAACTCAACGCATTTTGTCAATGCTATAGGTCAGGGGTCCCCAACCCCCCCACGGGCCGCGGACCGGTAGCGGTCCGTGGCCTGTTAGGAACCGGGCCGCACAGCAGCAGGAGGTGAGAGCGGTGAGTCTGCGCGTGCCCCGCCCATTATTTTATTATTTACCACTTCCGTCCGCGCCTCTTTCCCGCACTGCGCACTTGTCTCAGTCACAGTTTTGGTAAGCCCACAAGCTGACCCTAGACAAAATGAGTAAAAAAAAACAAACGTTGCTGGAGAGCTTCTTTGAAAAGGTTGGAGAGACCCAACGATGATGCCCCCTCCTCCGGTCCGTGAAAAGAATGTCTTCCACGAAACCGGTCCCTGGTGCCAAAAAGATTGGGGACCGCTGCTACAGATGATCTCATTTTAGCAGCGTGGCCCCTCGCCAGGTTTAGTTACATTAAATTTCCTGGCGTTGACACGTTTTGTGCCGCCGTGGGTTTATTCCTATGGCAGATGGCTATGATTGGCCCAGGGGGTGAATCTAGCATCGAGGGCACGGAGCCAGTATCGTCGAAGTGCCAGGTTCAAATCTGGGTTGTTGTCCAGTGGTAATTAAGAGCAGCTACTCAAGTGTGTAGCGGCGAGATTATGGGCTCAGCCTGTTCACCAATGACTGCACAAAAGCAACATAATAAACTGTAAACTTTTTTTTTACCAGGTAAGGCCCACTGAGCTATGTAGCTCTTTTTCAGAAATGACCCGGCCACAAATGATAGCGCAACGAAGTGGCTTAACGCAAAAACTCGACCAAGGTTTATAACTTCACCTGCATTACTCGGCGACACGACCAGTGACGTGGCCTCTCACGGCCGCGCTTTCGTCACTTAATGCAGAGGCTCACGGTTCGAGTCCAGCTGTCGTCTCCATCAACATAACCATCATAGCACTACGCGCGGTCTGCTGCACAGCGGATGTTAACGATCCCCTGATGCCACTCGCAGGAGTAGGGCCATCGTGCAGCCGATTTTGCCAAAAATGACGCCACAAAATAACTCAATTAGGATTGTACACAACATAAATCATTGCCCCCTATTGATAGCAGACACATTTTCCAGGTCACTCTTGCGAATGAGATTTATCCTGGTCTCCCGAGTTCTCTCACTGGGTTAAACAAGAATAAACTTGAAACTTACACCACCTTAGACCACTGGTATAGGAGAACTGGCGTGGTAGACACGCTTACATACAACTCGCAGCCACAAATTGCTTTAAATTATATATTTTTAAACTGCATAGAATTGTTTATTTTTATGTTTAATAATGCGGTGGTGCTTTGGGTGGCAGTATTTTGTGCCAGAAAGGTACCATGTGTTAACCAAAAAACAAATCGACTTGACTGGAACCTTAAAACTCTTTTTAAAAAATCATCTCAAGTTGCCTCCCTATCACGGCTTCCTTTAAGAATTAAAGCATGGACACGAAATAAATGTTGACGAGCGAGTCTGCCCCCTGTCGCTCGAGTAATGTATTGCACGGCTGGGTCACTGTCCTACACTGTGCTCCGATGACCATCTTACTGGCAAGAGCAAATGACAGTGAAACCCTGAGCAATGGAAACGTGACTCACGAGCCAATCGGATCACAGGCTTGTATCGTCAAGAGGGAATCGCTGCATCGTCCCAATCTGGCATCTTATTAAAGTAATTTAATATATATTTTTAAACTGCATTGCGATCCGTTGCAATTGGGAGGGCTCTTGCCCCACTCGTGTCAGTCATCGGGGTGGGGGTAGTTTGACCATACTTCACTATGCTGGTAGCTGTGGTTTGGTGAAGAGGTGGGGGGAGGGGGCACTATGGCCCGTCTCAGACATTAAGCGGCCACTCATGTTAGCCATGGCTGGGAATCGAACTCGGGTCACTCGGTTCATAGTGCAGTGCGCTAACTACTGCACTCATCAGCTCAACCTCCTTGCCAAGAATAACACACCCCATCTATGACGCTCAGAGCGATGGTTAAATCGGAGAACTTCAATAATACGAAGCTACTCATTAAACAGGAATAATAAAACAAGAGGAACGCCACGCACCTCAAGCAGGAGCGGTAGGAGAGCTGCGTCGTGTTGCTCACCGTACTGAACGACAGCTCCGAGCTTTGCCGCGAGGGCGGCCTGCGGACAAACGACAAGGGGACGGACGCCTTTACCAACGCCGCAAGCAGCCCAATTCTCGCTCGCAATCCACCCACGACGATCGGCGCCACAGGGTGGGCCTGGTTGCCGTACTAAACTAAAACGATTTGTATTTTACCAGGTAAGGCCCACTGAGCTATACAGCTCTTTTTTTCAGAAGCGACCTGGCCACAAATCATAGCTAAACTAAGTGGCTTATCGTCATGCGGAAATGTATAGCAGCCCAACTAGTCTAAACGCACATTGATTCTAAATGTGGAGGGGGAAAAAAAGGAGGAACCGGAGGAAAATCCAAACAACCATGGGGAGAACATGCACACTCCCAATAAACAGGCGTCGGGGTCGGAATTGAACCCACGACCTCCTCTATACCAGGCGAGCTAGTTAACATCTCGTCACTGTGGCACCCATAACCAGGGCAGCCTGGCAGATTTAAACCACAAATCAATGCAACAAAAGGCGTTGGCACTACCACTGGGTCTTATCCCTGTCCTGTTATTATCATCTTCATAACGACACCAACTGCATCCATCACGATGCCATTAACACCCTTTCAATGCCACAGGCCTCCTGCGATAGGACGAAAGTTAATTACCGTATGCGGAGGTCACCGGGCATCGCTCCATTAGTCCTCACCTCATCCTCATCATCTTCCAAGTTCTAAAGTGAAAACATTTCAGGACAGCACAAACGTAAGCGTCGCGCGAGCACAAGATTAAAAACCGCTGGACACGGGCAGGCCACTGGTTCATCACCAGCACTAGAGGCTGATAATAACAATTAAAATAGTTACAATTTTTCAAGGCAAATCCTGCATTTGGATGTTTGGGCAATTCCAGAAATGTAGTTTTTTTTTTAAATAATAACGGCATGCCTAAATTTTGATTTAAAGCTTTCGTGACTGCAGGGATTCATATTCTTGGTTCTTTCGGTAAAGTCACCACATAGAAGGGAAACAATAAAATAATAAAAATATAAAACAATAAAATTCTCACGACGTTTCGACTGCAACACAAGCAATCATCATCAGGTGTGAAAACCACAGCAAGAAAATTGCTGTGGTTTTCAAGAACCAAGAATAATAACGGTATGCCTCTTTTATGTTGATTCGAACAGGGGCTTTACCCAGTTCAAACAGAGGGCACCGGCGGCTGGACAGGTCATTTAACCGGTTTTGTCCTCGGGAAAGGAACTGGTTGTGGGTTTAAGAGACATACCACGGATTAGGCAGACGATTTAAATGTCAAGCAATGGACCACACGATAATTATTATTTTATTGCGACAAAACGCGAGCCCGGTATAGTACGCCGATCAATATTGGAGAACAGAAACTCTGCGAAAAGTCGAATTCGGCGCGACAAGACTGTACGTAGAGGGGGGGAGGGAAGTTGAACTCGCTGCCTCAACTAAGTGGGGACCACGCGTAGGGGGGGGGGGGGTGTGAAGATTTATATGGGGGAGGGAAGGGGGGAGGGGAAAGGTAACTAAAATACTGAGGGAAGACCGAGGGCAGGACCACACATTTATTATTTTTAAAATGCCATGGTTTATTTGTTGCATGACGGTCAGACCGATATTTCGCAAGAGCTATAATTTGGCCAAATTAATCTCAGAATCTAATTTAATGAGATGTTGTTGTTTGGTGCGCAGCCATTGGTGGTCGGGCTGAGACAACCAGCAGCTCATGTCACTCGAAAATCTGTGGTGCCACGGTGGCGAGATGTTAACCTCCTCGCCTGGTATATAGGTCGTGGGTTCGACCCCGACCCTGATGCCTATATATATGTTCTCCCCATAGTCACGTGGATTTTTTTCCGGGTCCTCCGGTTTTTCCCTCCACATTTAGAAACGTGCGTTTAGAGTATTCGGCTGCTATGAAAAAAAAATGTCCACGTAATAAGCCACTTCGTCGGGCTATCATTTGTGGCCAGGTCGCTTCTGAAAAACACCTGTATTGCTCAGTGGGTCTTACCTGGTAAAATAAAATATGTATATATTTGAACCTGGTTTTAATCAGAGGCAGCCAAAACCTGGATTCGAAACCAAGAATCTGAGAGCGGTGTCAGGGCTCAGTGCTCTGACCGCTTAAACTGCCGGGCCACTGCGACGCATACACTGCGCTTGCGAGCCAGACGGGGGGTTATCGAGATAGATGCGTGTCGGTCGCATTGATAAATGTCAACCGGTGCTTCAGGACACAGCCACGAGCGGCGCTGCCCATAGCAGGACGAGCAACGGCCGCCGCTAAGGCGAGGCTGTTCCGCTTGGGCGCACGGGCAACCGGCCGTGGAAGGTGGGAACGTGGCACCGTTTGTGACAAAAGCCCTCTCCCGCTCTGACCAGTCACTTAAGAATAAATATAAACTGGCCGCCAAATTATCATCTCAATCGCCTGCCAATTACCCTCGCCTGCTCCGCCTCGCACATTTAGCACCTGTCCTGCACTCCCAGCCCAAATCGCTGAAGCCACTCATCCACTACTTGACCAATCAATGTACCACCTCCCCCCCTTTTTGCCTAATAGAGGGCTCGTCTCTAATTTAGTGCCGACTCCTTCGATGGGGGGGGGCAAGGCATTGTTGGAACCACCTGCTCAGACGCAGCCACACTTACCTCACCTGCACAGCACAACAATCATCATAATTACGAAGTACTTTGCTCAGCACTTCCTTCAATGTCACAGTGTATGACTCACTTGCTGGTAATTCAGCAACCCAGTATCCATCACGATCAGTTTCCTCCTTCCGTTTCTGTGTCACGAGCCCCATACCAATGTGACGGACTGGTTCGTGGGCTGTGCCAAGCACCCGGCGAGCCGAGTTTTATTCCTGGTCACGTCCAACAACGTTGCTGAATAATTGAGCTGGTTTTGGCCCACCTTGAAGTTGACTCGGCTTTAGAATTCATTTAAGGTGTGGCGTGTAAACATCAGCAGTGGAGAGACACAAAGCAGCTGGGTGTGGTCCCAGTCACACGATCAACGTGTGCCACGCTGGCCTGAAGAGGTTCTTGCTAACAGCATTGGCCTCAACAGTTTGCGTCGGTGGATCGTTGTCTTAGTGCCAAACTAATTCGCCCGGTGTCTATCTATCTCACAAACTCAGTGTCCAGCACTCCAGACAAGCTGAGTACTAGGCATAATCATAAAAAATATAAATTAGGATGGGCACTTACATTTTGTGTGCAACACCACGCAGAGCAATTTTGCCGTCACTAAAAGAGTGCACTTTTGTACTTTTGGCTTTAAAGTAACATGGTGGTTAAAATGTAAGAATAAAGTTAATGCATACCCCACCCCTGGATTAGCAGTCAAGATTGTACAGTATTTAACAAAATTACTCAGCCATTCATTCAAGTCCACCTGCCAATTGGAGCACCTGCCTGCCCGCCCACTTATTCACACCCACCAAAAGATGCACTCAGCCACCCACGCACCCACTTATTGACTCACTTCATTAACTCACTAACTTAGCATTTTAGATTTTCTACAGTATTGAGATAATTACTCAGACCCAAGCACCCACCCACTAACCAACCCTACACCCCCATTCATTGACCCATACATTTATTCACTCACTCAGTAATTTAGCATTCCATTTTGTAGAGTATTTAGCAAGTTTACTCACTTACCCAACCACTCTCCGACTCACCAACCAATGCACACACTCACCCACCTGCTCACTCACCTAGCCACCCACTTATTCACCACTCACACACCCATTCATCCATCCATGCAGTCACTTACTCATCCACCGCCTCACATGTATCCAGCTCTCAATTACCCACTCACTTACTCACCCCCCACTCCACCCACTCACCCACCATCCACATTCACACACTCGCACATCCACTCAATCTCTCACACACCCACTCACTAATCCAGCTAACTACCCACTCACTCACCACCCACACATTCACTCACCCCCCCACCCCTGTCACTCGCACATCCCCCATCTCTCATCCACTCACTCACTCAACTACCTAACTCACTCACTCACCCTGTCCCCCCTGAGCCCACGTACCCGGTACTTGTGGCCCGATTCCCTGGGCCCGACATCATCGGCCCCGGCCGCCTGCCCGCTGGTCCGGCTCAGGTTCCCCTTCCTCTCGAACTTGAGGCTCCCGAACCTGGGCGTGGTGGCCTCCTTCTCCTCCAGGCTGATCTCGAAGGCATCATCGATGGTGAAGGAGCCTGGCTGCTCCGCCATCGGACAACCGTCGAGCCTCACCCCCTTGCACCCTGTGGTGACCGTGGTGGATGTTGCTGCGAGGACAATAAAAATAAAACAACGCAATGCGGATTCATATACAGGCGTACCGCTTCCTGCTTAGAACGCTGTATGATCATATAATGCTCCGTTACCAAGAACGCATCCTGAGCGCTATTTTTAGGAGGTATGCCTGCAGTGTGTAAATGGGACCACTTCTGATGATGCTGTAAAAACACATAGTGGGCGTAATAATTTTTCTTTATAAAGAGAGGCACTCGGTAATTGGCAGAAGAAAATAACTATAGACCCAGAGACCCCTAGACATACAAAGAGCCCCACAGACCCACTTATAAACCCATAAATACTATATGGATTTGTGGTGTCTAAATGCGACCATATCTCAAGATGCTGTACATAATGTGGACATAATTATACAAAGAGGCGCTCAGCCATTGGCCACAGAAAATATCCATGGATCCACAGAGACCCATATATTCACATAGTGAGCTGCAGATTCACATAGCGAACCACGGATTCACATAGCGCCGACACAGATGCACATAGCAACCTGTGCAATAGAAATACGGATGTTATGTCGCGTTTAAAAGCGACAGTATCTCAAGACGCCGCACCAGATATACCGGGCATGTTTATTCAATAATAAAGGGGCAGGCGGCCTGTCAGCAGAGAAGAAGTGGGAGGTCTTTAGACCATGGACTGTAATAAGGGCAGGGAGCCGACAGCACAAAGAGCAGGGGAGGAAAAACAATTCCAGACTCTGTTGGGGGGGGGGGGGGGCAGTAGAAGAGAATGAGCAACCTCCCATTGAGCAATGGTTGATTGGGGGCTTCAATTAGTGTGTAATAAATTACGCAGCAAATTCCATTCTAGCGACGTGCCCTGCCTGCCCAAAAACGATAGGGTAGCTATAGGGTACAGGGTAGCTATAGGGTACAGGGTAGCTATGGGGTAACAGGGTAGCTATAGGGTACAGGGTAGCTATAGGGTACAGGGTACCTATAGGGTACAGGGTAGCTACGGGGTAGCAGGGTAACTATGGGGTACAGGGTAGCTACGGGGTAACAGGGTAACTATGGGGTACAGGGTAGCTATAGGGTACAGGGTAGCTATAGGGTACAGGGTAGCTACGGGGTAACAGGGTAGCTATAGGGTACAGGGTAGCTACGGGGTAACAGGGTAACTATGGGGTACAGGGTAGCTATAGGGTACAGGGTAGCTATAGGGTACAGGGTAGCTATAGGGTACAGGGTAGCTACGGGGTAGCAGGGTAACTATAGGGTACAGGGTAGCTACGGGGTAACAGGGTAGCTATAGGGTACAGGGTAGCTATAGGGTACAGGGTAACTATGGGGTAACAGGGTAACTATGGGGTACAGGGTAGCTATAGGGTACAGGGTAGCTATAGGGTACAGGGTAGCTACGGGGTAACAGGGTAGCTATAGGGTACAGGGTAGCTATGGGGTAACAGGGTAACTATGGGGTAACAGGGTAACTACGGGGTAACAGGGTAGCTATAGGGTACAGGGTAACTATGGGGTAACAGGATAACTATGGGGTACAGGGTAGCTATAGGGTACAGGGTAACTATGGGGTAACAGGGTAACTATGGGGTAACAGGGTAACTATGGGGTACAGGGTAGCTAGGGTAGCTACGGGGTAACAGGGTAGCTATAGGGTACAGGGTAGCTATGGGGTAACAGGGTAACTATGGGGGTAACAGGGTAACTACGGGGTAACAGGGTAGCTATAGGGTACAGGGTAGCTATAGGGTACAGGGTAGCTACGGGGTAACAGGGTAGCTATAGGGTATAGGGTAGCTATAGGGTACAGGGTAGCTATAGGGTACAGGGTAGCTACGGAGTAACAGGGTAGCCATAGGGTACAGGGTAGCTATGGGGTAACAGGGTAACTATGGGGTAACAGGGTAACTACGGAGTAACAGGGTAGCTATAGGGTACAGGGTAGCTATGGGGTAACAGGGCAACTATGGGGTAACAGGGTAACTACGGGGTAACAGGGTAGCTATAGGGTACAGGGTAGCTATAGGGTACAGGGTAGCTACGGGGTAACAGGGTAGCTGGTATGGTGTACAGTATTATGCTGTCCCACGGTTATGTTGTTACGTTGTATAGTACTGCAGTTGTATTCTATGATGGTATTGTAGTTTTTACTAGTGACTCAAACCCCGCCAGTACTAAGATGCGTATTGCACGCTAACCATATAAAAGCTGTTATAAACAGTATATTATAAATGAGGTATATTGTTAATTATTTGTATGACATGTTTCGTCATGTTGTACAGTATATTGTACTTACAATACTGCAGTAACTCACTGTAATAGTGGATTTCATGAACATTGTTACGTTACGTTGTAGTTGTTTTTTAAAATACATTATCTAAACAGTACGTTTGCGTCATTGTATAGTAGCTAGATATACCTACTATAATCACCAGGTATTAACCCAGGAATATCCTTAACGCTCGTAACGTCACTCCACGTCATTAATAATCATTAACAAGTAACGTCTTCCACATGGACACACCCCCTCATTAATAATCATGAGCAGGTAACGTCTTCCACATGGACACCCCCCCTCATTAATAATCATTAACAGGTAACGTCTTCCACATGGACACACCCCCTCATTAATAATCATGAGCAGGTAACGTCTTCCACATGGACACCCCCCCTCATTAATAATCATTAACAAGTAACGTCTTCCACATGGACACACCCCTCATTAATAATCATGATCAGGTAACGTCCTCCACATGGACCCCCTCCCTCATTAATAATCATGAGCAGGTAGCGTGCGCCAAGTGGACCCCCCCTCATTAATAATAATTATCGGGTGACGTCGCTCCACATGGGGGGCGAGGCGCCTCCTCCCCCTCCTCCCCGTCAACTCACAACCCTCACTACAAAGGCAGAACCCTCATCACGTCACGTGATCTCCGTCACGCTGTTGTTGAGACATCAAAGTAAAAAGGACGTCGTGATGAACAAGGGATTATAAATATTCTTAGCTCTTTCGGTAAAGTCACGTTGAAGGGAAACAATAAAATAATAAAAAATATATAAAACAATAAAACTATTATACTTTACCGAAAGAGCTAAGAATATGAATTACTGCAGTCACGAAAGCTTTAAATCAAAATTTAAGGGATTATAACTTTTGATTTAAAGCTTTCGTGACTGCAGGGATTCATATTCTTGGTTCTTTCGGTAAATTCACGTAGAAGGGAAACAATAAAATAATAAAAATATAAAACAATAAAATTCTCACGACGTTTCGACTGCAACGCAAGCAATCATCATCAGGTGTGAAACCCACAATCATCAGGTGTGTTGTGGTTTTAACACCTGATGATGATTGCTTGCGTTGCAGTCGAAACGTCGTGAGAATTGTATTGTTTTATATTTTTATTACTTTATTGTTTCCCTTCTACGTGACTTTACCGAAAGAACCAAGAATATAACCAAGAATATATAAGGGATTATAACCTTTACATTAAATAGGTCTGTGTCACCGCGGCCTTACAAATTTGAAAACACTAATAGATGCGATGAATATATCACGTCGCGGTTTGCTTTTCGCTCGCAAGTTTAACATTTACTGCAATACACCCGTCCTTGGACGGGCAATAGGCTAGTCATTACATAGTTACACGGTATTCATTTTATTTCTACCTACGTGACTTTACCGAAAGAACCACAGTCGTTATAATGACAGTGATAAAAACAGCATGACTCACCCCGGGGCTGGACTATGACAGCGTTCGTTATGTTAAGTATAGAGATTTGTAAACTATACAATTGCCTATATTATCTATACTTCTGTGGTACTGTACAATAGTTGTAGCATTATACATAGTCACGCAGTAGTTATATTACAGCGATAATAGCATCATCAACGTGAACTCACCCGGCCCTGAGAGTTCCCGTGTGTTTTTAGTGAGGCACAAATAATGCAGCTACACTGTGCCCCTACATTATCCATACTTGTATGGTATTGTATAATAGCTGTATAATTAATATAGTTACACGGTAGTTATATTACAGCTATAGCAGCAGCAGCGCGAACTCACCCGTCCGTAACCTCCTCGCTCCTCCGCCACAGGGCCCAGCCGAGTCGTCAATAACTTCCCTCACGACAACCAACAACTACCGCGGCACGCAACAAACGCACAGCCTCAACACCACCAACAAGAACTACTACTACTACTACTACCGCCGCCGCCACCGTTGTTATAATAAGTGTAATTTGCTATCGTATTGTGATCATTAGACTGCGATACACAACGCCGCTGTGTTTACATAGACTCGGCCACCCCCGTGCTGACGTCATCACGTGGGCCCAGGCACGAGACCGGGGGGCGGGGCGGGGCGGGCGTAGTGGGGGGCGGGGTTAGTAGGGGGCGGGGCGAGAGTAGCGGGGGGGCGGGGTGGAGAGGGAAGGAGGGGCCGGACCAGAGCAATCGACCCGAGTAATCGACCGAGCAAATCGATCGACCCCGACCCGAGCAATCGATTCGGAGCTGTACAATCCACCCACGACCGAGAGCAATCGACCCACGGAGTCGAGCAATCGACCCACAATTCATTGACCCCTGGCAGTTATTTCCCCTTTGCATGCTAATTTCTGTTTTAAAACAAAACTTACTTTAAAAATTATAACAATGAAGTTCGAGATAATTAAAATGGGGCGTCACAAGACATCTGGACCACCCTTTGTCGCGCACAGTCAGTGTGCGCCGTGTATATCCGGTTCGTACGTCAAGGGGGTTCATATCCGGGGTGAGAGGTGACATCCGGTCCAGGCTGCCCCCCCCCCCACACCTCCCGCAACGCACGTGGAGAAGCAGCAGCAGCAGGAGGAGCCGGGAGGTGGACCGGACTGGTGAAGTATGGACACGGCGTCCCTGTTCGCGCGCCTCCGCGGCGGAACTCGCTTCGACTTCAAGAGATTCCGCGCCGAGGCGGAGAGATTCCAGGTGGCGGGGACACGGGGGTCGCGGTGTTGGTGATGATGTGGTGGCGATGGGTGGTGACGATTATCGTGAACCGGTCCTAGGCCTCCCGTAGGTCGACTCGGCTTCAAATGAGTAGCTGGTGCGGTGTGTAAAAACATCGCGTTGCCGGACGGGGTGGGGGTGGGGGGAGACAAAGGCGGTCGGGTGTGGTGCTGGCCACCCACGTTCTCGTGTGGCGTGCCGGCCTTCATAGGTGTTCGCTAACAGCACTTGCCCCAACAGTTCTGTTAAGGCTACACGGGAGGATCTTTGTCTTCGATTTTGGTGTGATGGTGATGTGAGTATGGTGGTGGTGTGGCTGCGATGATGGAGATGTGGGTGTAATGATGATGTGATTGTGATGTGGGTGATTGAGTCCGTCTAATTTAGAGGTATGGTGATGTTATGGGTGTGATGATGATGTGGGTGCAATGGTGATGTGGGCTAGGTGATGATATGGGCGTGATGTGTGGGTATGGTGATTTTGGAGTGGTGGTTATTGTGCAAAAAATAAAGAGTGGTGATGGTGTGCACTTAGCCCGGTGTCACGCCACATAGTGGCGATTGGCGGTTTTTTATGATTGTGAAGTTGAGGGAATGGTTATAATGTGATTGATGACGTGAGTATGATGATGTGGGATTGATGGGTAGGGAGTCATGAGAGAAGTGATGACGGCGAGGGAGGTGATCATGATGATGCGATGATGAGTGGTGATAATATGGAGGAGGGAGTAATGGCGAGGAGGAAGGTGATGTTCAAGTGATGTTCATTGATGTATGCGTGATATGCGAGGCAGTTATGAAGCTATCTAGATGAGTGATGGTTTTTATAATTAGTGATGATGGCATTGATGAGTGAATGATGATAAAGGATTTATAATGTGTAATGACAAGGTAGGTGGTGATGGCAATAATGATTAGGAATTTATTATGAGGGAGTTATTCATGATGATGATGGTTGGGTTAATGGTGCGATATGAGGCGTAATGGTGATGATAAAGCCAGATTCAGTGTGCCAGTAATTATAGAAATATTTCTGCAACGGTTAGTCCGCAGGATTAACATATATCATTCTCCCGCACTCTGCCTTCCAACAGATGGTGAAGCCAACCAGCGATTGTCAGATGTCTCCCGTCGAGGCAGCGAGTGCACTCGACTTCTTCGGATCGAAAGCCAAGCAGGCGATCCATGGCGGCTCGGTGAAGAAACCCCCCGCCGGCCGGGCTAGCGGAACCTCGGCACCAGCGGTGCCAGGCACGGCACAAAAACGGAAGCGCGGTGAAGGCTTGGGGCCGTCGAATGGGAAGAAGGGAAAGCAAAGTGGGAGGAGTGGGAGGAAAGTTGAGGACGCGGCCGGCAGCAATGCGGATGAATGCGGTGAGCGAGTTCCCGCGAATTAAGCTGGAAAGTTGTACGGTGCAGTTCTGCAGCATTGTTGTTGCGTAGGACAATGTTGTCGTCGGTGTTGTCCCCGGTGCGTGTCTGGTTAACGTTGGCTGCAGGGGTGTATAAATATGGCGAGTAGGTAGGCTTCATTATTTGAAATCGAAGCGGTAATTTTGACGGCCAGGGGTTGGGAATTCCAGACAATGTCGAGCTGCAATCAGGAAGCAAGCACGTGTTCATTCAATGCACAAGGTGGGGCTTCACATTATCAAGGGCTATGTATTAATCGCATGACTCTGCTCGCTCAATTAAAAAAAGTTCTGTGACGTAAATTTCTGGAGCCATTTTCTTTTCACACTCTGGTGCGTCTCTATCGGAAAGGGTTCCAGGTCGATTGTGGCTTTGCAAGACCGTGACAGATTGGCGACGGCATGGGGAAGCCTTCACCCAAGCAGAGCCTGTTGAGTATGGTGGTGATGAAAAAAACTCAACCTATCTCTTGCCAGCAGACATTGACACAGGCCTTGAGGAGGAGGAGGTAGAGGAGGTGGTGGAAGAGGATGATGAAGAGGAGGAGGAAGCAGTGGAGGCACCCGCAGATGCGGCCATCTGCACGAAGAAGGAAGAGCCCGAGGAGGAGCTGGGGATTCAGCTGATGTCGTCCCTTGGGAAGCTCCCGCTAAAGCACAAAGTGAAGAAGAAGAAGAAGCCCTCGGCTGAGAAGGCGGAGAGAATTCGGCGCGACCAGGTAACCGCACCGCCCGATTTCACGTGCCGCCAAATCCGTTGAGGTGGCGGCAGTGGCAGCAGCGGAGATGCGAATCATGCTGCCTTCATACAGATGCTGTATAAATACAAATTGTACAGCTGTTGTATTTGGGAAAGCTGCTGTGGAATCGGAGGCAAACACACACTCGAGAAGAGGGGCTCTGGCAAACTGTCTCCAGCGGAGGCTCTGCTGCCAGCAGTGGCCTGAGCAATAAATTGCAAGGCTGCACATTTTGCCTTTACCTTCGTACCTTCAGCTAGCTCGCTCTTATCTCAGCCACCCTGCTGCTCGTTAAAGGTTGGTTGCCCGACCTCGGGCTGCTCAGACCTTCGTTACTTTATGGGCACATCACGAATGCAAATAGCTATTGTGGTAATTGTGAAATTGTATTCACTTGCTAGGTGCCTTCCTATATTATTCTGCTGCCATCATCGCCATTATTGCCACTCCCCCCTGATCCCCCCCCCCCCCTGATTCCGCAGATCAACGCCCTGCGCAACTCGCTCAAGGTGCACGTGTCCGGCACAGACGTGCCGCCCCCGCTCGCGTCGTTCGAGCAGCTGCGCTCCGAGTACGAGCTCCACCCGCGCATCCTGAGCAACGTGCTCGAGGCAGGGTATCTGCAGCCCACGCCGGTGCAGAGGCAGGCCATCCCGCTCATGATGCAGGTGGAGAACGTGGCGCCCTCTTGTCTTGTAGGCCTGTCTGCCCCTCTGTAAACCTCACTGTCTGCCTGTCTGTACACACCTTTGTCTGCCTCCATGTGTAAACTTGTCTGCCTGGCTGTGCACAGGTCTGCCTGTCTCTGTGTACGTATGTAAATGCCTGCCTGATCACCTGCATGCGTCTATATCTGTAACCCTGTCTGTTTGCATGCCTACTTCTGTGCCTGCTGGTTTGTCTGTAAACCTCTCTGCCCGTTTGCATTGCTGTTTATTGCCTATCTGTCTTATAAACCCGTATCTCTGCTTGCTTACCAGTTTGCCTGTATTATAAAACCCTTCTCATCTACCTGTCCTGCCCTGCAGAGCTCTCTGCCTACCTGTTAAACTATTGTCTGTCTGCCGCCCCCGCCCCCCGTCTCTCCTGTCCTCCTGTGTGTGTGTGTGTGACCCCGTCCACAGCGGCGGGAGATCCTGGCATGCGCACCCACGGGCTCGGGGAAGACGGCCGCGTTCTGCATCCCCATACTTCACCACCTGCAGCAGCCACGCAACTGTGGCTTCCGCGCCGTCATCGTGTCCCCGACGCGCGAGCTCGTGGCCCAGGTGCGAACGTGCCCCCGCCCGCTTTGCCTCCGCCATGGGCGGACTGGCCCCGGCCGCGGGGATGTGGAATTTCCACTGCTGCCCCAACGCCAATAACGACAACGTCCGTAGCCCCGTAACATGGCAAGCCGTTACAAGGGCGCTGCCGATGGAATGGGCACTCCCCCCCCCCCCTCCACCACCAATGCTGGAAATCTACTTATTTAATTATCTATCTATGTACACAGGAGCGCCACATATGGTTATAATATTTGCGATGACCGAATCAACTTAAAGGCGCATGATCTCATTAGGTCTTACGAGCTTAGCAGGGATTCTGACCAGGCTCAACTCCCGCTTGGCTTCTGGCGAGCTGCGGCGCACATTCGTGGTACATTCGTGGCTGCTGTGACCACAGTGGGGGGAGGTTTGCGGCTGGGGGTAGAAAGGTTACGCGTGCCGTAGGTGATCGTTCCGCGGCCGTGTCTCCTCCCCCTCTCCCTCCGCCGACGTCCGCGTCAACGCAGACGCACCGTGAGCTGAGCAGGATCGCCGACGGTCTGGGTTTCCGCATCCACATGATCACCAAGACTTCCGTCGCCGCCAAGAAGTTTGGCCCCAAATCCGCCAAGAGGTTTGGTAAGGACTAATGGATGGGCGGGTCCTGTGCGCGTGCATGCATGAGACTCTCGAATCACGACCAGGCCCCTTCTTTGCCCCACAATGCTGTTTGAGTGAAGAGGGTCTGCCCTGAATCCTCCAAAGACCTCGTATATAGAAACAAAAAAGTACAAATACAAAGATCGCCCTGTTGCCTACGCAGGCTGTTGCAGCATTTGCTATTAGCAAACACCTATTAAGTAGCGAGTGATATCTGCACTGATGCTGGGCCTCCCCTAGGTTTACTGAGTGTTAAACGAGTACCTGGTGCGGTGTGTGAACATCGGCCAAGCGTGGTGCCGACTGCACCCCTCCCTCTTG